AGCATAGAGCAACTTTCCAAATTAACATTAATGATTTTTGGCTTAGTTATGAGATTTTAAACTATGATTTTTTAACAAATTTGCTGTTTTTATACCTTTTTTTAGGATTTTATTACTATAGTCAGTAACTTTTAATTGCATCAACAAACGTAGTATGCAGATTTGTTGGCGCTTTAAAAACTCACACAGAAAAGCTTTCCGAATCAAAATTAATGCTATTTCGGCTTAATTATGATGTTTGGAAAACATTGATTTTTCAATGAAATTGTCTGTTTTTATACCTTTTTTGCAGAATATAATTTCAGTCAGAAATGAAACGCAGTGAAGGAATCATTTCCGACCCTATAAATCATATATATTCTTGATCGCGATGAACTGCTGAATCGATCTAGCTATGTCTGGAAGAAAAATAAAATTTTCCAAATTTTGCGAAAATTTAAAAATTTGATAAGGGTTACATCATTCTTTTTTTAAAAAATCGACAAAAATTGAATTTGTTAATTTTTAAAACTGAGTATGTAGATTGGTTAATCTAGTAAAAACTAGCATAGAGCAACTTTCCAAATTAACATTAATGATTTTTTGGCTTAGTTATGAGATTTTTAAACTATGATTTTTTTAACAAATTTGCTGTTTTTATACCTTTTTTTAGGATTTATTACTATAGTCAGTAACTTTTAATTGCATCAACAAACGTAGTATGCAGATTTGTTGGCGCTTTAAAAACTCACACAGAAAAGCTTTCCGAATCAAAATTAATGCTATTTCGGCTTAATTATGATGTTTGGAAAACATTGATTTTTCAATGAAATTGTCTGTTTTTATACCTTTTTTGCAGAATATAATTTCAGTCAGAAATGAAACGCAGTGAAGGAATCATTTCCGACCCTATAAATCATATATATTCTTGATCGCGATGAACTGCTGAATCGATCTAGCTATGTCTGGAAGAAAAATAAAATTTTCCAAATTTTGCGAAATTTAAAATTTGATAAGGGGTTACATCATTCTTTTTTAAAAAATCGACAAAAAATTGAATTTGTTAATTTTTAAAACTGAGTATGTAGATTGGTTAATCTAGTAAAAACTAGCATAGAGCAACTTTCCAAATTAACATTAATGATTTTTGGCTTAGTTATGAGATTTTAAACTATGATTTTTTAACAAATTTGCTGTTTTTATACCTTTTTTAGGATTTTATTACTATAGTCAGTAACTTTTAATTGCATCAACAAACGTAGTATGCAGATTTGTTGGCGCTTTAAAAACTCACACAGAAAAGCTTTCCGAATCAAAATTAATGCTATTTCGGCTTAATTATGATGTTTGGAAAACATTGATTTTTCAATGAAATTGTCTGTTTTTATACCTTTTTTGCAGAATATAATTTCAGTCAGAAAATGAAACGCAGTGAAGGAATCATTTCCGACCCTATAATCATATATATTCTTGATCGCGATGAACTGCTGAATCGATCTAGCTATGTCTGGAAGAAAATAAAATTTTCCAAATTTTGCGAAAATTTAAAATTTGATAAGGGGTTACATCATTCTTTTTTTAAAAATCGACAAAAAATTGAATTTGTTAATTTTTAAACTGAGTATGTAGATTGGTTAATCTAGTAAAAACTAGCATAGAGCAACTTTCCAAATTAACATTAATGATTTTTTGGCTTAGTTATGAGATTTAAACTATGATTTTTAACAAATTTGCTGTTTTATACCTTTTTTTAGGATTTTATTACTATAGTCAGTAACTTTTAATTGCATCAACAAACGTAGTATGCAGATTTGTTGGCGCTTTAAAAACTCACACAGAAAAGCTTTCCGAATCAAAATTAATGCTATTTCGGCTTAATTATGATGTTTGGAAAACATTGATTTTTCAATGAAATTGTCTGTTTTTATACCTTTTTTGCAGAATATAATTTCAGTCAGAAGATTGAAACGCAGTGAAGGAATCATTTCCGACCCTATAAATCATATATATTCTTGATCGGGATGAACTGCTGAATCGATCTAGCTATGTCTGGAAGAAAATAAAATTTTCCAAATTTTGCGAAAATTTAAAAATTTGATAAGGGTTACATCATTCTTTTTTAAAAAATCGACAAAAAATTGAATTTGTTAATTTTTAAAACTGAGATGCAGATTGTTAATCTAGTAAAAACTAGCTTAGAGCAACTTTCCAAATTAACATTAATGATTTTTTGGCTAGTTATGAGATTTTTAAACTATGATTTTTTTAACAAATTTGCTGTTTTTATACCTTTTTTAGGATTTTATTACTATAGTCAGTAACTTTTAATTGCATCAACAAACGTAGTATGCAGATTTGTTGGCGCTTTAAAAACTCACACAGAAAAGCTTTCCGAATCAAAATTAATGCTATTTCGGCTTAATTATGATGTTTGGAAAACATTGATTTTCAATGAAATTGTCTGTTTTTATACCTTTTTTGCAGAATATAATTTCAGTCAGAAATTGAAACGCAGTGAAGGAATCATTTCCGACCCTATAAATCATATATATTCTTGATCGGGATGAACTGCTGAATCGATCTAGCTATGTCTGGAAGAAAATAAAATTTTCCAAATTTTGCGAAAATTTAAAATTTGATAAGGGTTACATCATTCTTTTTTTAAAAAATCGACAAAAAATTGAATTTGTTAATTTTTAAAACTGAGTATGCAGATTTGTTAATCTAGTAAAAACTAGCATAGAGCACTTTCCAAATTAACATTAATGATTTTTTGGCTAGTTATGAGATTTTTAACTATGATTTTTTAACAATTTGCTGTTTTTATACCTTTTTTAGGATTTTATTACTATAGTCAGTAACTTTTAATTGCATCAACAAACGTAGTATGCAGATTTGTTGGCGCTTTAAAAACTCACACAGAAAAGCTTTCCGAATCAAAATTAATGCTATTCGGCTTAATTATGATGTTTGGAAAACATTGATTTTTCAATGAAATTGTCTGTTTTTATACCTTTTTTGCAGAATATAATTTCAGTCAGAAGATTGAAACGCAGTGAAGGAATCGTTTCCGACCCTATAAATCATATATATTCTTGATCGGGATGAACTGCTGAATCGATCTAGCTATGTCTGGAAGAAAATAAAATTTTCCAAATTTTGCGAAAATTTAAAATTTGATAAGGGGTTACATCATTCTTTTTTTAAAAACCGACAAAAAATGAATTTGTTAATTTTTAAAACTGAGTATGCAGATTTGTTAATCTAGTAAAAACTAGCTTAGAGCAACTTTCCAAATTAACATTAATGATTTTTTGGCTTAGTTATGAGATTCTTAAACTTCGATTTTTTGAACAAATTTGCTGTTTTTATACCTTTTTTCAGGATTTATTACTTTAGTCAGTAACTTTTAATTGCATCAACAAACGTAGTATGTAGATTTGTTGGCGCTTTAAAAACTCACACAGAAAAGCTTTCCGAATCAAAATTAATGCTATTTCGGCTTAATTATGATGTTTGGAAAACATTGATTTTTCAATGAAATTGTCTGTTTTTATACCTTTTTTGCAGAATATAATTTCAGTCAGAAGATTGAAACGCAGTGATGGAATCATTTCCGACCCTATAAATCATATATATTCTTGATCGGGATGAACTGCTGAATCGATCTAGCTATGTCTGGAACAAAATAAAATTTTCCAAATTTTGCGAAAATTTAAAAATTTGATAAAATTTTTTTAAAAAATCGACAAAAATTGAATTTGTTAATTTTAAAACTGAGTATGCAGATTTGTTAATCTAGTAAAAACTAGCTTAGAGCAACTTTCCAAATTAACATTAATGATTTTTTGCTTAGTTATGAGATTCTTAAACTTCGATTTTTTGAACAAATTTGCTGTTTTTTACCTTTTTTCAGGATCTTATTACTTTAGTCAGTAACTTTTAATTGCATCAACAAACGTAGTATGCAGATTTGTTAGCGCTTTAATAACTCACACAGAAAAGCTTTCTGAATCAAATTAATGCTATTTCGGCTTAATTATGATGTTTGGAAAACATTGATTTTTCAATGAAATTGTCCGTTTTTATACCTTTTTTGCAGAATATAATTTCAGTCAGAAGATTGAAACGCAGTGATGGATCATTTCCGACCCTATAAATCATATATATTCTTGATCGGGATGAACTGCTGAATCGATCTAGCTATGTCTGGAAGAAAAATAAATTTTCCATATTTTGCGAAAATTTAAAAATTTTATAAGGGTTACATCATTCTTTTTTAAAAAATCGACAAAAAATTGAATTTGTTAATTTTTTAAACTGAGTATGCAGACTTGTTAATCTAGTAAAAACTAGAGCAGCTTTCCAAATTAACATTAATGATTTTTTGGCTTAGTTATGAGATTTTTAAACTTCGATTTTTTGAACAAATTTGCTGTTTTTATACCTTTTTTCAGGATCTTATTACTTTAGTCAGTAACTTTTAATTGCATCAACAAACGTAGTATGCAGATTTGTTAGCGCTTTAAAAACTCACACAGAAAAGCTTTCCGAATCAAAATTAATGCTATTTCGGCTTAATTATGATGTTTGGAAAACATTGATTTTTCAATGAAATTGTCTGTTTTTATACCTTTTTTGCAGAATATAATTTCAGTCAGAAGATTGAAACGCAGTGAAGGAATCATTTCCGACCCTATAAATCATATATATTCTTGATCGGATGAACTGCTGAATCGATCTAGCTATGTCTGGAAGCAAAATACAATTTTGCCTCATTTTATTTTTACATTACACATTTTAGCCATGTTACTTACCCAACGGCGAATGTTCGTGTCTTGGATAAAGATGTGCGGCGAATTCGCCATATAGGAGAACTAATACTTTAACATCGAATTTTGTCTCGAAAAATATATATTCTCAATCCACATGGCCGTCAGAAATAATTACCTGAAATTCTGAAATAAAGATAAGCTACCCAGCATTTTCCACTCATTAAAAACAACTTGAAGCAGTTTTTTCTGCATGCAACTTTCATCGAAATGAATTTCAATATTTTATTCTGCCAATTAATATTTATAAAATAAAAAACAAAGTTGATTAAACACTGAACATTGATTGAATTTGGATTAAAGCAAGCAATCAATTCGTTTTGTATGATGCGGCGCCTTAAACAGAGAACTAAAAACTAATTTACATCAAGAATCAAGGTAACTGAGGGAAACATTACGAAAAAATAATAAAAATTGAGAGATATCATAAATGGAAACGAAATCGACACAGACAAATGATGAATATATTGATAGAAATGCACAAGGTATTATATAGCCTGGAGTTAAGAATCGGGTCAAGATGTTTACTTAGTTCAAAAGTAATTAAAGTTAAAGTATTTGTAATTTGAAAACATTGAAAATTATGTCTTAAATAACTAAGAATTACATAAACGTATGTATATATTTTTTTGTGTTTTTTGTTTTTCTTTTCTAGTAATTATATTTACTTGTAAAACATGTTCAAAAACTTTTCTTTTCTTTTTTTGTCGTCACAGCTTTGGCGCTTGAAAGGTATGAAATCGGAAATACAACCTTCACCAAAAAACTTGTTTGAGCCTTTTTCTTCTAGCGGAAAAACCATGAACGTTTTTTTATATAAATTTTATCTTTTACGTAGTTTGTTTTAGTTTTCTTTTTCGACTGGTATTTGCTTTTTTCCTCCTTTTGTTTTCTCTGTGTAATAACTAAATTATATAAGTGTATATTACTCTTCGTCTGTTCTAGGCAGTTAACATGGCTACAAAACTATTCAAGTGTGATTAAACCCTTCCTGTTTGTAAATGTGTCGGTTAGCTTGGGATCTGGGAACTGGGAACTGGGCAGAGGATGGGGTTGGGGTTGTTGCAAGGCTCAAAATCAATCTTTTGGTTAGCTTCCTTATTTGATTCTCAGTTTAATTTCAATTTCCCCGTCGAAAAATGCCATCGTCTTAGAAATGCAGTGCATGTCAGTGGGATCAAGGTATCATCTCCCTCCTCTCCTAGACCATCTCCGGCCAGCCCAGAACCTGCTCCAGCTGGTTATCGCTGAACTCGAATCCACCCTCGCCCATTATGTAGTCATCGTTGCACAGATCCATCATGGCCGGGGTGTGCAGCAGGGGATTGCTGCTGTCCAGAAAGGATATCGATGTCTTCCTGCTGGGCGCATTGCTCCCACAGCCATTCTCAAGCTCTTCATCTGCAGCCTGGACCAAGGACGAAGGCACCACAGCATCTAGTGGTGGAGGTGGCTCACTTGCTGCCCTCGACTCCAGAGCGATCCTTTTGCGTGGCGAACCGGAAGGTGACCCATCCACCAGGCTGTTCTCATCAATGCCACTGTCGCTGGAGGCATCCGTATCGCAGCCAGTTAAGCCGGGTGGCACCGAGTCATCCAGGGAGACCACTGACCCGGTCTCGCAGTCAACACCACCACCACCGCCGCCGGCATCAGAGCCACCAAAGACAGGTGACAGCTGGAAATTGGTGCCACTGATCAGGGGATTGTGATGATAGTTCCTCAGCACCGTCGATGTGGAGGTGTGACAATGCAGGGGCAGGCCGTACTTGCCCAGGCCCAGGGTCTGTGCCTCCAGGGAGTTGTCATCGATCATCATGGGCTCGGATTCGCTAGCCTATTTTATGGGGGCGGAGAAAGAAAGGAGAGAAAAAAGGATATTAATTAGTAACTAGTTTTGGTTTAGTTTAAAATAGGTAAGAAGAGGATGGAAAAGCTTGATATTTATCTTTTAATGAATAGTTTTTAAATATTTAAAAACCTTTATAAATAACAAACAGGAAGCACCTCACACAGCTGGTATAATATTTCTTAAACTACACAACAATTTACCTTAAATAAATGGATCGATTTACATAATTGACCTGACTTAATCTTAACTTATTGGTATTCATTATGAATGGCCTACAATTGAAATTACAATTAAGTCTTAAGTACAACAATCAGAGCATAAATTAAATTAAATTAACCAATTTGCAGCTTAATTACTCCCCGAATCCCCGTGGTAACTCAGTGAGTCCCTGAAGTACGTAACTCTTGAACTTCCCTAGCTATTTCCCTATTTCTATGCAAATGCTGGGCTATTAACTCGATGAAACCTTTGCCAAAATTGAGCGGAAAAACGCTTCTAAGCCGGTGTCATGAAAATGTTTAAAGTCACCAAAGAAACACACAAATACACACTGTGCTCAAGCCTCAAATTCCCTGTGGAAAAGCCCCGGGAAGGCAACAGCAGGAAGCTCTCAAGCCAAGCACAAGTCCACCCAAAAAAATAAAGGGGCAGGCCGCAATAAATCATATTTTAATGATGGCTGGGAATGGGTCCTGCTGCTGCTCCTCCTCATTGAAACAGAATCCAGCGGTGGGACATTATTATGCTTTGGATTTCGGATTGACACAAAGACTGCCCCGCCTTCACTTTCGTTTTTATTCTGGCCACCAGCCACCAGTCACCAGTCCATTCCCATTCCCAATCCCAATCCCAGACATCCTGACAGGAAGCGGTGGGAATACACCAGATTCGATGGGCAGAATGGCAGCTTGCATTTGTTTTTCTAGCAGAGAAAAAACACCAGTTGTTCTAATTTTATATGGATTTTTCCATATTGATTTGCCATTTAAATTATGGTATCTTTGATACAGATAAAAATCGCTGCAGGAAATCTAAGATATATTATTATTTTAAACTTAGTTATGATCGACTGCCGATTCGATCCTAAATTAGATTGCAAACTCCAGGAGTATGTAAGTTTTAGATTCCGAAAGATTTAATACTTTTTCTCAGTGCAAAACCTTCAACAATGTTCGATGACGAAGATAAGTTGTACAAAAATGACACCCTGATGGCAGTGACGATGTGTCCGCTGGGCAAGAGTTCAAGTGCAGTCTGATGAACCCTCTTCTATTTGCGATGCTTTCAAGGCGAACTTCTTCTCCTTCTCCCAAAGCCAGGAACTACGGCTAATTGCAGCAATTACGAGACAAGCGAAAGCGAAAGTGCTGTAAGATGAGCAATGATGGACAAACAAACAAAACCAAAGCCCAATGAGAACAAAGAAAGTAAAAGTACCAGTAAAAGCTAAGGATTCTGTGTCAGAGAGCATACCCGTTCCTAAGGGCATATACATATCATCATGGGGTGAAAAAAAACCCAAAAGCCGACAGGGCGTATGCGTAACGAAATGGTGAAAAATTCCTGTGGCACGCGCAAAGCCTCCTCAGGGCATCGGGGGTAGCCGCCATGTAATAGGTTTATTGTTTGATATATTATAGACACTGCCCGCCTGGACATATTCTTTTCCCCATTCCCCTGCCAAATATGCTCTAATAAATTATTAAAGGCAATTGCTGCCACGCAAAACGAAACTATTAGATAAGGGCAGCAGGTCTACCGGAAATGCCAAGGCATTACAATAATTGGCCGACATCCTTGCTGGTCTCCTCCGTCACTTTGATGTCTTAGTCGTGGTATTAGTCTTTATGACGGCTTTCTGCTGAGTTAGCTTCCGTTTAAAGCCATCTAATTGGATTCTTTTTCCGTTTTTTTTATGGCATCGCATTTCATCGACACCCCAACGCCAGGCCCACGTGCCACGCCCCTGGACTCACGAAAGTCCAATAGAAAAACAAAAGCAATTAAAAGCGAAACTTTGCTTTCATGCCTTGAGAGAGCAGTCAAGTTTCTGCAGAAAAATCTGCTGTCACCGCATAATAAAAGCAAAAGTAGGCAACAAATGTGCTTAAGGAGCAGTGCTTGCTCCGAGAAGGGAGGAGCTTCTCCTACGCAAAGGACTCTACAGTAACGCTTTTTTTATATTTTCTTCCTTTTAAATTCGACACTCGTTGCGCAAGGACTCTTGGGAATACGCAATTGCTGCGGGCAGCAAAAGGATTGGCATTGCGTAACCAGATGAAACTGAAATTGAAAATTGAAAATTGAAACTGGGGTCCGTAATCAATAAGCAACAAACTTGAATAACTCAAGAAGGCAGGATGTCAAGGAGACAACGTGACGTATACGTAATGCAATTGTCGCCAGGCATATTTTCATCTTGGAACAGGAGAAAACAAAAACCAATAAAAGGGCAATACATGAATATAGAAGCGGGAAGCTGAGAGACTTTACTGGTACACTTTTTTATACCCTTGCAGCTTGCCTTAAGCCTTTATAATAACCAAAGAGAGAAAGTAAAAGTCTTTCTGAACATCTTTAAAGTAAGCAAAAAACTTAATTAAATGGAAAACAAATACTTAAAAATATAAATAAAACTTTCCTGTGGATACTACCTCCACCTAATATGCACATTTCAAACTCAAAACAGGACATCTTCTTCCAAGAGTGTTCACCAAAATAATGCGCAGGTTTCAGACTACAAAAAAGTAGGTGGAAGATTGCGTGGAATTTAATTTCGTCACAGCGTTCGTGTGTGACGTAAATTCGTCATTTATTTACAGACGAACCGAAGCGAAAGATTTAAATTTGGGAACCCCTGAAAAGTGAAACGAAAATCTCAAGATGAGGGCGAAAGTTATCCTGGTGTATATGTGTGTGCTCGGCATACATAAGTGCTTGAACAGAACACAAGAGGACAGGACACAACAGGACAATAAGGAATCTGCTGGAACCAGATCCACAAAAGTTTAGCTGCCAAAGGAGAAGAAGACGGCAGGCAACTTGATTAGCTGGCAGCAGCATCATTTATTCCAATCAAAAGATTTTAATAAATTGCCAGTCAGTTCGGAGGCAAATACAATGGCGAATGGAGATTAATCAATTCCCAGGCTGGCCTGTCAATACAAATATGCTCGAGGGCCCAAAATGTATGCACATAAATCGAGAAGGAAAAGTTGTAAACACGAGCTGGGAGATGGCTTTCCTCGTTCTCTTACTCAAATATCCACCAAAAGAAAACACACATACAGGATTTTCCCGCTCCTAAAGTCTTGGATAAAGTTGATATCGTATCTGGTTGATTCGACGGGGGTTTTCATTCGACTTTATTTATGGTTTTATTTTGGATTTACTAAAATATTTATTAAAAGTTTATTAAAATACTTTATATAATCCACAGATATCATATCATATCATATGCCATATCGTATCGTACGTACTACATTCGCATGTATATGTATAAGTTGCTTGACATCTTGTATATAATATATATATATATTTTTATTTATTTATGTATATAGGTGTATATATGTATAATATTGCATACTTTGCGGCGTTTACACACTAGTTTGCCTTACATTTTCGCATCGATTCGATTCTATTCGATACGTTTCGAGTCTAATTCAAGGCTAGTTTCATCGCTCTACGCATTCAAATTACGCTAACATCTTGTGGGTTGGGGGCTTGGAGGTATTCTCGGTGTTGTGTTGTGTAGTGTGTGTGGAGTGTGTCGGATACTGGGTTCTAGTTGGGTAGCATAAGAGGCTTAGGCAGCCGACAAGCTCACAAATAATTGCTGCAAATTAACCAAACGGAGAAAGGTTCAGGGATTGGTTGGCAGGCCAAATAAAAGTAATGCTCCATGAAAGTGACTCCACAACGCCTTTTGCCTTTTCCTTTTGACAAATGGGGCCCCAAGGCAGGGTCCTGTTCAAAGGTTACACTTGTAGACACAACTGTGACCTGTTGATTCCCGGCAATCATAATATAATTTTGCATAATGCCAGCACAATTAATCAGGGCGACAGAGTAAGTCACAGAGAGCTCGGAATGAACTTCAAATTGACTGAAGAGGAAAGTCGGCTGAGGGGATGACTCTCAGGATCAAGTAACATTAATCAAAATCAGCCGGCCGCCAAATCAATTGCAACGGAGCACAAAGTGCCTGTCACCTTTTTGCCTTGACTTCTCCTTTGAGTTATGAAGATGAGTTGGCCAAAATCGGGAGCCACCGTAAACGGATATGTCGTGTGTCATATTTGCTAGCTGGGAAAAATTACAGCTAATAAAGTTGCACAATAAATCTGTAGCTGACTGCTGCTTGACTTAATTTCTCACAAAATTTTCACTATATTTACTTTACTTTTCGTTTTTCGTTTTACTTTACTGAAGCTTTCTCCGAGGTATTGGTTAGTATCTCTCTTTGGTGACGCACATAAGTAGGCTATAAAAATTACACAACATTTAGTTTAGTTTTACTTTAGTTTAATTTACTTGCTCTAGACTGACGTTAGCCTTTTATTTTAGGCCTTAGCTTTGTATTCGCTTTAGATTTAGATTTAGCTCTAGCTTTAGTTTTAGTTAATTTATTGCTATAAATGCGAGATACACACACAACAAGAATTTTGGAGGTAGTAAAAAACGCTCGTTATCAAAGGGATTTCGCACACAACATTCACTAGGGTGTATTGAACTATCAAAAGTCGGAATAGGCATATGTTTTTTTTGTTTTGTTTTAAGGATAGAGGTATATGTATGTATGTATATTTTAGTTAATGTTATATGTATACACGAGGTAATGTAAGTATGTAGGCGGCGCAAGGACACAAGGACCCTGCTACCTACACGATCGTACTTATGCATGTACTGAGGTATATGTGGTATATTTGTGAAATTGTATGTACTTTCTGTTCAATTCTCGTTCTCGGCTTTTTTGATATAATCCGTTCCCGATTTTGCACTCCGTCGCGATAAAGCTACCCATTATCATTCCCTCCGCTTTCTCACTCTCTCTCTATGTCATACGTAACACGCGAAAAACTTCAACTAAATGTGATGATTGGGATTCGTGTGATACAAAGTCTAATACCAAGTCGTTATCGTTATCGATATCGTTATTGTTACTGTTTATCTGTCTATCGTTAGTCGATTTTGAATTTGACTTGCCCGTGGGGAGGGGGAGATTGCATTAATACTATTATCGATATCGTATATATAGCTAAATATTAGGCCAATTACTCACTAAACTATAGTTTAAGTTTAGTTAAAGCCACATCGATTAATTTTTTTGAGAGTTGTCATCTGGTGTTTTTCCATATCCTCCTGCTTTCATTTACTATTTACATCCCTGCTTAGATGCTATGTGTATATAATTTTTTCAGAGTTTTCGGCTCGCAGTCTTTTCGGGCTATATTTATTTAATTATTCAAGTATTCTCAAGTCCCCTCCGTGGATCTGGAGCTCTGACTAAATGATTATCGAGAGGAATATCTATATATGTATGTATATATGCTAAGTCTGTCTAGTTAGTGACTAGGATTACTAACTCGAGGATTGCTTGTCATTTTGCTAACAGTATAATTTTCTAAAATGGATTGAGTTTTATGTTTTATTTTTTGCTTTTCTTTTGGCCTTCGTTTCTGAGGTTGAGGTTCCTATATAGTTTGATGTCTGATCCGGAGGTAGTATCGGTTTCAGTTTTTATCTTTCGATTACGCCACACACGAGGTAGATGCGGTTTCCCAAAAACTGATTCTGCTATGAATTGTTCTATGGGGCCAAAGAAGCTTTCTCCTAAACACAAAATAAAAGTAGGAAGAGTAGGAAAAACTCAAGAAAACTCTGAATAACAGTAAGCAGGAAAAGAAAGTAACAAAGTAAATAAAGTAAAGTAGGCAGCAAATATTTGGCCACGTACACACACACATGTGTGTCGCCCGAGAATAATGCAAATTGGGGTTCCCAAAAGAAGCTGCAGCCCAATTACGGCGATTCATTAATGCAGGAAAGGACTTTTTCGGACGGAGGACTGCGGGGACACCGGAAAAGTGCCAGCCGTGACGCAAAGTTTTTCTCTGCGGCCCAGAGTGGGAAGCTCGTGTAGGCCATAAAAACCGGCGGAGCACAAAACCCGGGGACTCTCAACTCTCGAGTATATATAAGAGACACGTGCCGCAAACACAACAAAAGAGAGAGAGAGAGTCCCGCTCTTTCAACCAAGTGAAAGTCAAAGTGAGAGTGAAAGTGGAAATGGAAATGGAAGTCGTAGACCCGAGAGCAAAGAGCGTCAGCTGTGCGCAGCGGAAAGGAAATAAAACTGGCAAAGGGATAGGACCCTGGGTGGAATTTTAACATTTACCCCAAGCCAAAGTCGTTGGAGGTGCAAAATCAATACTCAAGCTAGAATGCGGCACGCGCTGCCTCCGGGTCTTATCGGAATGTCAAAGCAGGAGGAAGGAGCAGGAGTAGGAGCAGGAATGGGCACAGGAAGCAGGAACTGGAGCAGCAGCTCTGGCGGCCCACTCTATAAACCTAGGCTAAGCTAGTGTCAATAGTGGGAGGTTTTTTGGGGCATTTTAAATTCCCTTTTGAGGCTTAAGTTGCGTGTAAATTTGTTTGCCAGCTGGATATTTATGATTTCGGATCCCCTTTTCGGAGCCCATCGATGATGTGCGTCAGACACGCCATGCCGTCAGAACGAAGGGCGAAAGTTAATTAAGCTGCCAGGCTTCAGTCACAAAACTCCCGCACAACCGCCCACACCTTGTATGTAGGTCAGTACACAATGAAAAAATCAATAATATCAAATATTAAAGACACAAATTATACAAGGATACAAAGATCAAAACAAAAACACAGTAATAGATAATGGTTTTTTCCGGATTTTTTTCTCTTTCTTTCTCATTCTTTGTTTCGTCTTCGGTAAGTGTATGTACTTATCCGTCGTTAGAGCTAATTAAAAAAACAAAAACAAAAGGAACTATAAACTAAATTAAAAACGACAAACTAATAAGAATCGAAAGCTGCCAGGTTAAAGCTTCAGTGGCGACCCGAGGTTTTTGTTCTATATACGCACTATGTATCTATGTAACTATATCTAGGTTTTACTCTCTATGTGTATAGATATATATATATAATATATAAGTGTGCGATAGAGAACGCTCACCGCACGAGGATTGTTCTTTAATTGCTAATAGTTGCTCTATGTGTAATGTGTATGTGTTGTTTTGTTTTATAGTTTTGACTCTACTAGAATTAGTGTGCTTTGTTTTTTGTTTGTCTAGCTTAAAGTGTTGATTTTCTTCTTACAGGGATTTCTTTCTCATATTTTGTACCTTCAGCGCTCGAATTTCGGTTATCAATTTTGCTACACTTTCGTTCACAAATTGGTACAATTTACAGGGTTTTCTTTATGGAACATAAAGGCCAAAACTGAACTCGAAACAAACGCATCCTTACTGTCTTTGAATATTATTATTATTAAAATCCACATATCGATATTTATATATCCTTGCTGCAGTCAAAGCTTACACATCTAACAAATTGCTCGAAAAAGTTAACAGAAATCAAGAAAGTTAAACCTGATGTGTGCCTGATGGGGGGAGAACTCATTCAATCGATCAATCAACAAAAGCAAATGTTATCACAGTAAAAAAAACTTAAAGTTGCCATATTTTGAATTTGTTCTTTATATAGTTTACAATTTTATTGCAATCGTTCTCTGATTCTCGCGTTCCTAAACTATGTCCGCGCGGACCCGCTGTGATGCTCTCCGCGTTAGAACTAACTCGCTTTTAATCCTACCGATCCTGGTTTTATGTACAACAGAATTATTTTGCTCAACAGAACAGAAGATTTAACAACATGCTGCTTAGGCTTACGGCTATGGCTTAGGGTCAAACTTAAAAAGAAATCAACAAATTGCGCCAAGCTACAAACTTAAGATTACGCTCGTCGATCGCGAAACGATTCGGATCGGTACGGCACTATTTTAAATAGTCTACGAAATTTGTAATTTTAAAGTCCATCTCTTAAACGTCTAGACTAGAAGCTATCCGCTATATAAACTATAACTAACGACTATCGCGAGACTACGTCCTAGGCTTTAGGGACTACAGAAAAACGGACTAAAACTAGGCCCGCCGCCGCCTTCCTCTCGCAGCGGGAGGAGGTTGCTTTGTTGGTTACACTTTACAGCTTATATATGTATATATCTATATAGTTTTGATGTTCAGTTATATAAAATCGATCCATTTACAAAAGACAAATTGTAGAAATGGGCTTGTCCATGCATTCTTTCGCTTAACCTAACAATCCTTGGTTGGGTTTGGGTTAATCATAGCCGGCTGTGGGGGTGCTTCCATTAGCTAATTGAGAGGCGGGTGGTGAAGGTCGTCTCTAGCCAGAGTCAGAGTCTAGACCTTGGCCAGCTGCTTCTTGGGCCGCATGGGCACAATGCAGTAGCCGGCACTTACATCGCGTCCGCTGACCAGCAGGTTCTTCAGCACCGAATTGGATTGCTGCTGTTGCTGCTGCTGCTGTTGTTGCAGCTGCTTCTGCTGCTTGCTCTCCGCCGCCTGTTGCTGCCAGCGTTCGCTTCCCGCTCGCTTGGTGGCCTGATTCTGTTGCACCTGATCCTTGCCAATGAGCTGCTGCAGCAGCTGCGGTGACTGCACATCCAGGCAGATGGTTCCGCTCTTCAGGCGCTTTGATTCCACTGGATTACCAGCACCTCCTGTCGCACTGTTCAGGTGTCGCTTGTTTCCATGCTGCTGCTGCTGCTGCTGGGGCAGCATAAGCTTTCCCACACGTTGCTGCTGCTGCTGTTGCGTCGTTGCTGGTTTGCTTTCCACCAGACGGATGGTGGCCTTGGTGGTCACTGGCGCAATGCTGGCTCCATTCAGGATCTTTAGAGCTGGTTGCTGCAGTTGCTCCTGCTGCTGTTGCATTAATCCCTTGTTATTCTGAATCGTAATCAATGGCACTGCATTCAGTATAATGTTCTGTTGCTGCTGCTGTTGTTGTAACTGCTGCTGTTGCTGCAGCAACTGAATTGTGGTAACCTTGCAGGGAGCAGGCGAAGCCGTAGGACTCACTGGAGCCTCTGCCACGTGCATCTGCAGCAGGTCCCAGCAATCCAAATTTGTAGCTAAAACAGAAAAACAAACCACGAAAAGTTAGTGAGGTGAAAAACATTCCTAAAATCATGTTGAAATATGCAAGCTAATCCTCAGAATTTATCGAATCAAAAATGTGGCTAAAATTAATTCCTTTTGCCCATGACATTGGTGCTAATTTAAAACAATAACACAAACATTTCTTTTCGCACATAAATAAATAAATTCTATATAGCCACGGGCATTTGTATCTATATCCTTAGTATCTGTATCTATACGACGAGTATATCTAACCGCCGGTGGCTGGTGTGTGCGACATAAATCAGCGGGGGATTTGGCCGAAGGTGGAAAACTATTGGAAAATTCAAAAGAGACCTTAGGCCTAGGCATCTGTCAATGAAAGCGGACGGGACGACCCCTCTAAATACTGACTGTCATATATCCTGGCACTTTGCAGTCAATACAGTTGACAGGGCCAGCGGCCGATTTCTGTCATTGCGCCAGTGCCAGGCATCAATCACAACATCACGGGGAACGTGCGGTGACATGTGTCAAAGGTAAGAGAGCAATGTGTGAAAATTACGCAAAAAAAAAGTGGAGGGGAAAAGCGTTGTGGAAAACTTGAACCCACATCAATTAGCTCTCCCGCTGTTCCCCGGTTCCAAGAACCAAGTGACATCTTCCGCGACACGCAACCGAAAATTCAGAAAGTCTCTTTATTCTGCATTTTTCCCCTCTATTTTTACAAGTAGGCGTTGGAGTGGCAGCGTGTGCGTGTGCGTTGGCAGCATATCATAAAAAATAAAGCAAGTTTCCTCCGCGGCTATGGATATTTTTAGTACAGCGCTCTGTCCATAAAATTAGGCCTATACGAAAATGCAGAAGAGGGAATATATATATTGTATGGAATATATTTTCAAAAGCATAATTAGCGTCTAGGAGGGAGGAAGGGCCGAGGGAATAAGTCCCCTAGAGGCGGTCTTAAATCAATCTATTCTTGCTGTTTTTTCCTCTTTTAATCTTATAAAATTCAAGAGTCGTAAAATTTCCACGAATAATTGGTGTGAAATGTCAGTCAATGGAGGTGTTTTTCTGTTTTTATCACTGAAATGTTTCCACAACTCTTTAAATAAAAACAAAAACTATTTCTGATTACTGAAATTTTTCAAATGTTAAGCATCTAATTTATGATGATCTCATTTAAACTTTTGCTTTAGTAATTTAATTATTAGTTTTTCTATTTGTATTTAAATGTTTTCATGTTCTTCCCTGTTTATCACTGCATATTTCAACATTGTTTTCTATCCTTTTTTGTTTCTTTAATACTTACAGTCCTTGCTGTAGTCATTCTCAAATGCTTCCTCCATGGAATGACACAAACTGGTCGCCATTGGCACCTCATATTTCTCCTTTTTGCACTCAATGCTGAGGCTCAGTAACTGCTGCTGCTGCTGCTGCTGTTGCTGCTGCTGTTGACGCTGCTGCTGCTGATCCTCCTGCAATTGCAACTCCTGCTGCAACTGCTGGAAGCTGCGGAAATCATTGTTTCCCTGCTGCTGCTGCTGCTGCAGCCGCTCATTGCACTCCTCCGCCACGGTCACACCACTGCCTCCAAGTATCGAAAGGGTTCCATTTCCGGATCCACATAGCAAAGCTGCCAGTTCGCTTGAATCGGTGGAGAAGACTCCCGCCTGCTGCTGGTGTTGCTGTTGCTGCTGCTGTTGTTGCACTGGCGATGGCGATAACGAAGACACCGTCGATGCAGGCGATGAGCATAGAGAATTGGAGAAATGCTGCTGCTGTTGATGGACCGCCGACTGCTGCTGTTGCTGCTGCTGGTAGCCACTGTTGTTGGCGTACTGCTGATGTTGCTGCTGTTGCAGCTGCTGCAACTGCTGCTGCATGGCATCAATCTCCTTGGGCACCATGGTCTGCAGATCCTCCGGTGGACACCACATGAGATCCGTCTCTGTGAGCAGGGGCATATCATCACCCATGGGGATATAGGGAGCACGCATGCCAAAGTCCACAAAGGAGAAATCATCCTCCTGGGTCAACGAGGTGGGGCTGCACAACGATGGCAGACTGCTGTCCTCGGGGCTCTGCAATGGTAAGAGATAAAAATGGATTAGTTCTCGGATTCTTGGATTAATTTGTGAAGAAATGAAGACACACCTTTGAAGTGATGCTGGGCGAGTGCAGGTGCTGGGAGCAGTTCGTGTCGTTCGATTCCTCGCGGTAGTTGAACAACGGATCAATGTTGCTGCTGCTGTTGCTGTTGTCGTGGTGCTGGGGGTGATGTTGCTGCTGTTGTTGCTGCTGTTGCTGCTGCTGCTGGTTGTGTTGCTGCTGCTGCTGCTGTTGTTGCTGGCTGGGATTTAGGGACTGAGTAGCTGCTGCCGGATTGGGATTGGGTGTAAGCGGGCTGAGCGGACTGGTGGCATAACTGTTGCTGGGACTGCTGCTTGCAGCAGAGTTGCTGCTGCTACTGTTGGGACTCTGGCAATGCTGGCTGGAGCAGGTGGTCGAGTCCAAGGAGTTGATATCGTCGGGCAGCAGGCAGGAGCCCATTAGACCCACCAGAATGTCGCTAAACGGTGTCATCTCGTCCAGCTGAATGCAGGCAGTGGAGTTCAGGTGATGGGACAGATCGTCGGGTTCCTCCTTAAACACTGAAAGTGAGAAGTCAGAAATAAAGATGCAGTTAGTGGCGGTTTCACATAGTTCGCAATGGGGTGCTAGATCTCAATTCTACTTTTCTGGTCCACGTCCACTGTTAATTAACTGCTCCAAATGGAACCCTTGGCTGTTTGCTTGAGCTGCCGAATTTTCAATTATCGCTCGACAGAGTCCCTCTAATTGACAGCTCCCAATTGAATCTAATTGAACGCAACGCGCTTCCCTCGTGAAATTAGTCGCTCCAATTGCGTCCGCAATGGAATCGAAGCAGAGCCATGATTTTTATGGCTATGGCCGGGTCGGGGACTCATTAATCAGCATTTTGGAAAATCGCCTATTGACGTACGCGGAATAAATGCAAGCGAAGCGAAGGCGAAAACAAACATTCTGGAAACCCAGGAACCCAAGGGGTTTGCTATTTAATATTTATGGACTGAAATAACTATCGGGGCGAGTCGAGTGCATCGGAGGAGGCCTATGGCAGTCACCCCAGATCAGGTGCAAGGCGGCTAATCAGTCATTTTGGGGTCTTGAACCCGGGGGCGATCTTTCCAGCTGATTCCGCTTAGGATGCACGTCATCTGAGCCGATAGTCAGGCATTCCTACCTAAAGCTCTATCGCAACTATCGGGCTCATCTCATACCAACACAACCCAGGCCATTCCCGTCATGGGGTTCGCTATAATATACTATAAGGTATGCTAATAAAACTGGTCCCAACCGCCTCTGTGTGCCGACTATTAAGTTGCAAAATGGAAATGAAAAACTAACTAAAGCGCCAGAGACCCGACCGCAGGCCAAATAGAATTTCAAATGCAAGTCCAAGTTCGTGAATGTGAGTGCGAGTGCATTGTTTGCTTGAGCTCAACTTAGCTTACTTCTATCAAAAAGAGTCATATATAAACGGATAAATCCCAACTGCAGCAACTGCCACCGGCAGCCATATAAGCCATAAAGTTGAAATGGATTCTCTGAGGTCTCTTATCCAGCCTACACAAGTCTTAATTTGTGAGAGTGTCTAGTAATATAATAATAGGTCTCAATGATATACTCAATTAAGTATGAATCAGCTTAATGTGATTCATATAGTTTCCTTATCCTAAATATTCTCCTAGGATATATTTTTAATAGCAAGGTCACACTAGCACATGTCATATGAACGCATGGTCACACTCTGACTTTCTAAATAGGAAAATTAGAACAAAATCTATTTATATCATTTTTCCCACAGTGCAGTAACATATTCCAATTGCAATAAAGATGAGATTAGCGGTGTATAAGGGATTTGCACAGCTTGTAGCTGCCACAACTGCTCCTCTACCCCGACATCTGCTTTGCTCCTGTGGTCGTTGCATTCGACACAAACAAATTAATTAACAATGCACGCCCAAAGGTCTTACCAAGTCCTCTCTACCTTATACCCCTCTATCCAGACTTGTAATTATGGCACTCGAGTGCTACTCAACGAAGCTTTTTTTGTTTTGTTTTTGCGGAAAAAACAACAGAAATTATGGCGCATGATAATATAACACACTCAAACGTCTATTGGGGGTCTATCTATATCTAAGCCTATCGGAATCGAGTGCATTTTATGAGATGTTAGCAAAGTGTTTCCATATATTACAGCTCATCGAATGTGTTGTTTTTTTCGCCAAAGTGCAAGGCCGGGGGAATAATGCATTTAGCGGCCAAACTGGCTAACTGGGCCTACACGCAAGGCTAATATAGTTGCACTACAACTTGACCAAATACCCAATGATTCAACTCACCCAGAAACCGGGTGTCAAGTCATTGAATCAACACTTAGGGCACACATGGCAATATATATTTTTAATTGTTTTATTTTGATCAAATTTAAATTGATTCATAGATCTAGCAGTAGATAGTTTTGTACTATGATATCTCAACAATATATATTCTTGATCAAATCATACAACATTTTCCTCTGTGCAATTTCTGAGGTCGCTTGTGAGCCGCTTGTGAAAGGCATCTCTATCTGCACTTGAGCCACATTTGGTGCACTTGAGGCTCGTGTGTGTATTCGAAAGTTTTATTTTTTTCGAGGGAACAGGTTGCCGCATTAGCACACACACCACACACCACACAGTCACTGAAATTCATGTTCAACGCGTGACTATATCAAGGGATCTTGGGTCAGTTGGAAGAACAAACCAGGCGAAAACTGCTTCAATTTAAATAAATTTATGTCATCATCTGCAATTGAAGAGGACGATGGCAAACGCTTCATGCTCGTGATGTGACGTAGTTCCAAATCAAAATCGGAATATGTAAACAACCAAAAGACGACGCAGAACGGACACGGGCACTTAAGTACCCGGAGAAGATCAGAGAGACAAAACGGGGACGGAGCGTGTTGTTCTATATAGATTTATGTAAGACCCAAAAAAAAGTATATATATATATATTGACAATTTACACATCGCCAGAGCCCAGACTCTGGTCCGGGACTTGGACTCATCATATCAGCGATGAACTTGAACTCGAGTGATTAGAAGAGAATTCATCCAAACAATCATTCATCCGTCTGTTTTTTTATTATTATTTGTGCTTCTGGTCGTGATGGGTGTGCTTATCACGCGTGCTAATCACGATAGTTGTGCGTTTCCATTCTATCAACTTTGATCCCAAAGCATAATTTGCCACTGACTATATATTCCTATTAAACTCGAAATATATCGGAGCCCAATTGATATTTATGGCCAAGAGTTTTTCCTGCTCTGTCGTTTGTTATCATTACAAAAATATTAGCTTTTATAGATTGCGGTCGGATAACACAACAGCATAGGGTAATTACAGTGGTGCTGCCTTTGTTTTTGTTTGTTAAAGGGTTACTTCTGTTTGACCATCCCCATCCTCCAAAATAAAGTGATTATCTGTATCTGAGCTGTAACGCCTTGAGAACCCGAGTATCTGTATCTGACAGGCGGCAATCGAAGCTCGATCGAGTGTTACAACTGATTAGGCTAACGAATGGAATATTTGAAATGTTGGGAAAAATACCGCCAGAGGTGACAAGAATTACATAAAAATTCGGTCTACTCATCATACGCCCATAGACGTGGCGTTTGTTTCCCTGTTTATTTACGTTCCTTTCCACGCAACGAAAATAAATATAGACGCGGTGGTAAGAATAGGAAAGTATCTATAAAAAAAACAGAAAAAGTATCTGGCGAGTCTGTAAATGTATCTGTGTCGGCAGGCAGCGCAAAATGTCAACAGAAAGAGGCCTTACTGAAAGCGAGAGCGATTAGGGGGCTGCAGGTCCCACTTGACAAGGGGGGGAGCCTCTCGGGAAGGTGTCATGAGGCATTTCGAAAATACCCAAATTCCCATTCCCATTTCCATTCCCTGCCAGAAATTCAAAGTGGTCGGAGAGGGGTGCTGGAAGGGGGGAAGGGGAGGATGGGACACATGCGAGACAGCTCCGCTTGATCCATGGCCGGACCTTGGCACACGCGCCAAAAATTCCTCTCCTCCGGCACTTTTCACTCGTTTCGGTTCCCCTCCATTCACTTAGCATATTAATTGGCTCAAGTTAATATTCATATTTCTGCTTTTTTGTCACCAGGCAGTGGCAGCCGGAGAACGGAAAAGTTCTCTTGCTTGTGAGGCAAAGAAAATAATGAAAAACATTTCAAATATCTATATATTCGAATAGAGAAAGAAAGACCAAAACAATCGATGACGATTTTCGAGAACATGTTTAATTAAATCATATGATTTTTCTAGGAAATTTATTTCTTTGTATTTAAGAAAGGAAAATAACAAATGCTATTCATAAGTAAATGAAGGGACATTGTGGAAAAAATAGCAAACTCTTTAAATACAGTTCCGTCTCATTTAAAATTAAAATCAATTAGGTAAAGACTATCATTTATTTGCTATACAGTTTTAATCAATTCCTAGTTAGCATAACTGCAAAATTAACAAATCAATCAAGTAATCAAGAAAAAACAGAACGATTCTATAACCCACTTTACTGTCCCATATATTAATCAATTCCATAACCATCATCTTCAGTTAAAAATAAAACCAGTAAACAATAAAAAAAAAACACCTTCCAACTTTAATCTAGGCAATAAACGATGCCCCCCTTGGGTTTCCATGTAATACACTGCGTATGCGTAATGCCGGCAAAAAATGTGACATAAGAGACCGGCGCAATTGCATAGGCAACCGGCTTGCGGTTAAGTACGGATGGGAATCCGCCCCTTCCAACACACCAGAAAACCATATATAGCCTCCTATATATAAAGACACTTATATATGAGCACGTTTATATATTATGCACTTATCAGGCGAGCGCTTTGAACATTGTTTGCTAATGCAGTTTTTTTTTTTCAAGGGGCAGGGTAGGAATAAGAGGGGCAATCATTTACTTTTTGCCAACTGCAAATAAATAGTTTTATTTGCGCAAATTGCGGCCACAGATAAGCGGCACCGAACTGACAATCGCCTGAATGACTGACCAACGAGTAGGGGAGCTGAATGACCAGACTGAACGACTGAGTGACTGACGAACTGACTGACTGAAGGACTGACTGACTGACCAATCAAATTGCATTGCCCAGAATTACGACAATGCGTCAAATCACATCAAATACCGCGCGCGTCACTAAGTTCGCTGCCTTTGGTTGTTGTTTATTTTGATTTTTCTTTTTTTGCATAGAATTTATAAACAAAGCCAACTACAATTGCATATGCATATGTATGAACTGTTGGAATTGTTGGTGTATTCGTTGGTGTAAATATTCTGTATGTATTGTGTTGTCGTCGATACGCTGAGTTTAGCCTTGAACGCAGAACTGCACCTGATGCACCTCACAAAGTGGTTTTTGCAAAATCTTTCCTGTTTTTTGTTTTTATATTATTTCTATACAACTTATCAGCTGATTGTGGAATAACGCCCTCCCCAACAACAAAATGAATTGAGTTATATATGCCAGGGTATAGCTTAAAAAGAAAATCTAGTTATCGCTGAGTTATAGTTATCTATTTTGATTGCTTTTAAGTCTTTTGATTTTGATAAAATTGATTAAGATGTTATGTTATGTTATGCTATGTGATATCTTCTGGCTTCTTATTACACCAATTAAGTTTTCCTCATTTCTATCGTATTATCGGAGATCTTTAAAGCACCCTTGAATTAAAGAAAATATTTGGGGATAATTTTCTACTTACTTGTTAAGCCTCGTCCTTCATCAGCATACAGCGAACAGAATCCTTTATTCATATCTTGAGCCGGTTGTGGGTTCTGTGACTGATGTTGCTGCTGCTGTTGTTGCTGCTGTTGATGTTGCTGATTACTGGAGGAGATAATCGCTGCCGTGGCTGTTGTTGTGGGCGGCAATGTTGGCTCCACTTGGAGCTGTGGCTTCTTGCCAATGACGACGACACCACTCGATGGCGGTGGGGTCAAAGGTGGCGCTGGACTGGGTCGGAAGACCGAAGCGGTCACCGACTTGGGACGCTTTTCCTCGAGACGCAGGCCGCCGCTAGTGCCGCTAAGCAGCGTTGCAGTGATGGTACGCGGTCCTGGCGAGTGATTTTCCCGCTTGATCAGCAGCTCCGCTTGCAGGATCTGCTTCAAGGGATTGCTCTCGGGGAGCTGTCTTATCTGAGCTGCAGCAGAAATGGCAGTCGATGGAGTTGCCGGTGGGTTTGCAGTTATTATTTTTGTTTGTGGTTGTTCCAAGGGAATTTCCTCGTTCTTTTCCTCTTGTTCCGGTTCTAGTTCTAGTTCTGGTTCGGATTTATCCTCAATTTCTAGTGGAGCAACTGCCTCGATGGTATCCTTGGTGGCTGATTTAGGCTCGACAGTGGCCGGCTTCTCTGGGTCCTGCTCAGTTTCAGCTGGTTGAGGGTGTTGTTGATCCTTTTGCTCACTTGCCGCCTTTTGTTGAGCGAGTGAGTATATCTCATGTTTGTTCTCAAGATTACTGCAAGGATGAAGGCACAAGACGCGATTCGAATGGGTTTTAATTTGGGATGCTTATTCGGATTTGATAAACTTATTCGCGTTGCACTTGTTTGTTACACCACGGCGAGAAAAGCGATTCGCGGGATTTGTTTCGTATTTGAAAATATCTGAACAATTCATATGCACACAATGAATATCGAAGAGAAGAAAGTCAAGAAATATACGGTTCTCTCTCTCTTTATTCGTGTAAACACAAGCCACAACTGCTTGGCACTTGTTCTGGGTTAGTAATTACCAATTAGCCAGACTTAATTAACTCTAGGGGTCCCCTAATGAGCCGAATCGAGCTGGAATTTCCTAGGTTCTACTAGAAAATTTTCTACACAATACAAGTAAGTTTAATTTATGACAAATAATTAATTAATAATAAGGTTTCTGGTACATCCAATGCCTATATTCATAATTTTATGGTATAATGAGAGTTGGATTAGAAAATTTGTATATCTTTGTGGTATAAGTCTCTAAATGTTTGAAATCTGATAACGTATATTTTTAACTTCCCACTTCCTCTAACAAAAAAAATCTGTAAACATATACTAGAAATTATCAAAGCTCGTAAACGTACAATTATGGCAGGTAAAAGTCCAAAACCTTTCTGGTCAAACGTGATTTACCGACAATCCACATTTTTTGGTATTAGCAAAACTTCTGGGCAGTTTCCTACATTTCACAATGGCTATTGGAAAATTTTTTTTGGTGACTGGCGATAAGTCACGTTTTCCCAATGCCACACTGAATGGCAGACCGACGTTAAATGCCTTATCAATTATCCAGCCGGGCATCGTACGCCGTATTTTTTTTTGCTCAGCCAAAGCAAAGTGATAGATAGCATTAGGTGGGTGTGTCCCAACAAGGCAATAACAAGAAACACACAAGAGCAACCCCAGACCCAGATTGATAAGCTCGCAGTAGTGTAATCAGTAATCCGAATGAAGCTTCGAAATCCCGAGAGAAGCAACGCTATGGAGGAGCCCGGCAACTGCGGGAATTGCTGTGTATGTCTCAGCACTCTCCGATAAGATACGAGCAAAGCGATCGGCCGACTCAGCCAGATCTACGCCGGAGTCTCCGGCTCCGGCTCCGTCTCCGGACGGACTGCTCCTACAATTTTGCACGGCCGTAAATGGTGTGCATGCGAGAGGCGAGTGATATTTGGTATACATATCAAGCGGAGGCCGCGTGAAGCCTCCGTGGGGCCCCCGTGAAACCCCCGTGGAATGCCGTGCGGCGACTGATCTGGCGATAAAGGCGCCATCGCACGATACCGAGGGCTATATTTGTGCGTCGCCCATCGAGTGCTGGACATGATGTGGCGGAATATCACCAGCACACCAAAACAAACAAACAGACGACGACGAGTATTATTTATAATTTCCAGTCAACTTGAATTCATTTTTTGGGGGCTCGTCCCTCTGGTGAAATAGACCAAGTGCCACGGTTACTTGCGTAGTTCTAAAAGTACCAAAAAGGTGCGGAATTTTCAAGTCATGTGCTAGTGTCATTGAAGTGAAGGGTCTGTCTTTAATAGAAAATCTAACAATCAGCAAGATACTCCATTTCATAGGTGACCAGCCCACCTTTTGTGGGAGGACAGAGATCTCAATGTCACGCAGAACAAAAAATAGAAGGTGTTGCGTAATACTCCCGGATTGATTAGGACAAACACGAAATGTATGAAAGGCCTATTTGGTAGGCAAACACACCCACCTGGCCAAACACACACACACACGCGTCCCAAGCCGGAAGGCAACTGAGTGGACAACAAAAAGATACAAATACAAATGGGAGGTAGTAGTAGTAGTAGTAGTAGTAGTAGTAGTAGTAGTAGTAGTAGTAGACTAGTACACTTAAATAATTGCTTCATCTTCATTGTTGTGGTCGCCAATTGTAGGGGATCTCTATGTACTCTCTGTCTGTTTGGACACGGGCCAGTTGCAACCAGTTCGAACCGCTGACCGGTGATCGGTTGGGTTCTCTTCGGTTGGTCAGGCCTATTCCTATGTTTTTAGGAGGCTTACATCACAATATTAATTAAAAGATCAAAAAATTGTATAGTAAGTGGGTAAAACCAAAGTTGAAATGATAGAAAACGACTGGGAATCTATTAATTAGAGATCTGTCATTATAAATCAGAACTACCTACCAAAAAAAATCTTATTCAGTTAGTTCTCTTATGATTTAAAAACCATATTTAAAACTAATATTAGCTTAAGCTTTATAAAAATAAATATAAACTATTTTTTAAATGTTTTATCTGAATCTCTTTTAAAATCATCTAACATTTTGAAACCCACATTTCTTTGTCATTCATTATTATCTAATATGTCAAACATTTTTCAATTAAACTTGATTAAATCATAGTTCACAGAACTTTCCATGGTTTTATGTTATTTTCATGCTCATTGAAAACGGAAATCCCATAAAATAAAGAACATTTCATGTGCTTTTTAAGAACACTACTATACCTATTAATGCAGCCCCTGCTGTGTGTAAACTGCACTAGCAACAAACACTCGAGCGGAGTGTTGATGAAGCGCTGAAATGTTCGAGAAGTTCCTACCACTGATAAGAGATACAGATAGAAAATGCACTTGCGGCGATCTTTCCCCTCTTAACTCTTGAACTGTGCAACTCAAGTGTGGATCGTGTGTGTGAGTGTGTGGATTGTGGAGCTTGAATCGTGACTTGTGGAGTGCGACGCCGAAGTGCGAAGTCAGCAGCGCTGCTGCCGATCGCCTGATGTTTTGCCGCGCCCCTCTTACACTCTTTACGGCCCTGCGCCCTTTCCCACTCATTTTCGCAAATGCACAAATTAATTACCGAGCGAAACTAAACAAGCTGGCAGTTGAGCAAAAAAAATAAAATAAAAAAAAAATAAGGTAAATATAAATAATCACAAAAGAAAAACTAAAGGCACAGTTCAGGTTTTCAATATCAACGAATATTTTATGGGAATTTAATTACGTATTTTTATTATTACTGGTTTCTGTATTTTGAAATTAAGAAATTATATATAATTAAATCAATTACATCCAAATTTTCCATAAGGTTTGTAAAAGACATTCTGCAATAACTCAAAGGTATATAATTGGGTCGTACGTATACGTAATATTTATTAAAATTTTCATTTAAAAATGCTTCCTTTTTTGTAAGTAAATGCACCTGCTCTTAATTTCTTATTGTGTAACAAATTGCGTCGAAGAACGGAAGGCAGAAGAAGAGATACGAGAAATCAGCGACCATAAAAAGAGAGGAACAAAACAAGCAGACGACAACAAACACAAAATGCCTGAAACAAAAAAAAACACCAACAAAAGCCCGAGAGGCTGTAAATTTGCTCTTCTTTTCTGCTCCTCTTCTTTCAATTGCAGAGCAATAACGGGTACACTGTTCCCCCTCCTGCCACCCCCCAAAAATAGCAGTAATTGCTTTCGCCTGGGTATGTGTGTGTGTGTGTGTCTGTGCAGTAAATTGAATGAAACGAAAAAGACCGTATAAAAGAAGATCAAAACGAGAACCCAAAATTGTGCGATGCTCCATGTTTACTGAGAGTTGTGTAATCGGTTGAATAGTATAAGGAGAAATTCTGTAAATGCAATTACACGCACTCTTTAGCATAAATTAATTGCCATAAACAAATGTAAATGCACTGGCCGATTTTATGTAATGCAAATTTGCAATTGCAATGTGGCGAAAATGGGGAGATAGTGAGAGAGAGCGGAGAGAGAGATGATTTTTGTTTTTGGACAATGCACGCAGAATGCAATTCTGCGGTCGCCGTTGCAGTTGCAGCGCCGCTGCAGCGCAGCAGCCGCAGCTTTGCAGGTTAGGACCGAGTGTTGTGTAAAACTTGTCCCTTTCCTTTTTGTTTTACTCTCTTGTTCTCGATTCCTCTGCTGTTATTTATTTATTGTGGCATATTTTCTCATTTTATCCGGCGATCAATTATGATTATTGTTATTATTTCATTCGAGCGAGTGAGTGCTTTTCTAGCCGCGTGTAACAAACTTTTGCACACTTTTCTAATGATTGGGATTCAGTTTTGTGTATTTTTTTATGTATATATTTTAGCTGATTTTGATAATCGTTTAAACACACGCACACATGCAGCGGCCGATTAAAATTAGCAATTATATGTGTTTTTAAATTATATATATACGCCTGACCGAGTGAGTGTGTGTGTTTCCACGCATAATAAAGTTTATTTTTGTCAATTTGTTGTTTGTGTCGTATTTTTTTTTTTTTTTTCTTTTTGACTATTTTATTCTTTTTTGTATTTCTTAATTTTATTTTTTTTTTTGAACACGATCACACAAATACAAAAACTCTACACTCGATGTTTTTATGTAATTTATTAAATTAACTTTCGTGTTGCGTTGATGACAATCGTTTTACCTTTTGAACTTGTTACTTGTTTTTTTTTTGCAGTATTTACAGTTTAGTTTAGGTGTTTTTTTTATATTTCAATTCTCGCTTTTATTTAATTTTCGCGACTTCGACTCGACTCGACGGCAGCTGGCGAAGTAAAACAAAACGGCAATCGGCGATTGTTTTTAAGCGCGACGATCGGAGAGACTAGAGGCGAGATAGCAAAGGCGGCGACAGAGTTTAGTTAATAGTTTTTTTTATTGTTTTTGTGTTTAGTGCGCCGCTCTCTGTTTCTTTTAATTGTTTTTTTTTCGGGCTTCAGTTTAAAGTTTTTTCGGGGCAGTGCACGGAAAAAGTGAAGTGAGCGCTGCGATTGCTGAGAGACGAATGAGTGGAACGCCAGCGCAGGAATAACGGCGAGGCATTTTTTTCTCGACGCGACGCCAAGAGCTCCACAAAAGAGCCATCGTGCGGTTCTGAGTGAAAGAGAGAGCGCAACGCCGGCGCACTATCGCTTGAGTGCTTTTCGCTTGAGTCATCTCTGCGTATGAGTGATTTTTTTTCTTTTCGTTTCGTCGCTTTATAAAGCCAAATATGCGACGACGATTTATTATTGTTTTTATGCCAAACAAATCAGCTGAGCGGAGCGCCACTCACTCACTCTCCCACCGCCAAAAGAGCAGGGCAAAAAGATGAGTGGAATGCATACCTATATTTAAGTAGGCCTAATCTGGTTTTCTCTTTATAATTCCTCAACTAAGCATTAAACGTTGAACCTTCATCAGCTGATAGCCGGTTGATAACGGTCGTTTGCCAATGTCCAGGTATTTCTGTTACCAATTCCATTGCGTCACAGGCGCCTGAGAGTATGCCTGGAATATTATCAACGGGAAAAGAAGGAAAAGCGGAAAAGGAAAGCGAGCGAAAGTCGTAAATGAAGGAAAAACTGACGAATATCGACCTCAAAAAAGTCGTAAAAAAAAACAACAGAGAAATAGCCACCAAAATATATTCATGTTTATCAGTCAGAAACAAAAACTTATTGCTTTTCCAATTTCCCAAACAGTAAACATTCGATAGAAGTTGACAACTGAGTGAAGTATTCACTGTACACAGCAAGTGGAATTATTTTATATATTTTGTTATATTTTAGAACAAGAAAATATCTCAATTTAAAACATGATTCCACTAAATTTCCCTACAAGTAATAGTAAAAGAGTTTCTTTAAATATGTAAATATTCACTATAATTCCCAACTGGTTACTGGTTTATAAAGGATGTAAATAACGTTCATACTCCCTATAATTCCCAACTGCTTTAAAACATTAAGGCATTTAAAGCATTAATAAATTCCTTGGTAATTTTATTTAATGAATTATCCTTATGAAAACTTCCTATTTCGCTCTCTGCATAGCTAGGACATAATCCTATATTTCACAAATATGAGCTGGCATTGCCCGAGTCGACATTCGCTAATTTCGCCATAAAACTAAAGCCATTGCGTGATGGGCATAAAAAAGGACACACAAATACACACGCACTTAAACAGAAGCAAAAGCAGGCAGCAGGATAAATAATAGGCCCAAAAGGACGAACACGAGACGAAACAGAGAGAAAGGGAGCGAGAGAGAGAGAGTGAGACAAGACACGAGTCGGATATTTGCAGAATTTTACGATTTTGCCTTGAAAACGAAATAAACCATTTAAGTGTGTAGGTGAGTCGGAGTGCGTAAGTGTGCGTAAGAGGGTGTAGGTGTTGGAGTGTGTGTGTGTTTTTTCCCTCACTTTCGAGTGCATCAAATTTACACAACTCTCTGATGAAATCTCGTGAGCCTCTTCGTTAAAAGCTCACTTAAAATGTCAGGGAAACACGCAGAAGGGGGGCGAATTTTCCGGGAGATGGGGAAAACAAAGGTGATACCACCCACACTTGTCAGAATGTGTGTCCCCAAACCAAAGCAAACAAATCCCAAAGAGCAACAAACACACGAAAAATTAAATTCGAAAACGAGGGAATATAAATTCCAAATGTTTATGCAGTTTCTGTTGCTGCTGCTACCAACGACGACAGAAATAAATTCAAATTATATTCGGGCGAAACATTTTCCCAAGCACAAAAATTAACAATAAATAATTGGAGGCTGAAGCAGAGAGAGTGAAGAAGCAGATGCGAAAAATGGCAGCAAATTATTGCATATTGCTAGAATTTAAAAGATATTCCTCAGAATAAATTCATAGGATTTTGAGCTTTGGGATTTACAAAAGGTGGATTAAATATACAGACAAATTTACTAGATATATTTTATATAGAAAATTAAATTGGTAAGAAAAGTTTTTAGTATTTAAACCTTTTAAGTAAATATAAGAAAATCATAAGTATAAATCTCTCTGATATTATATTTCTGGGTTTTCTGGGGTTAACTGGAATGCCGCTCAACATCTCAAATTCCCATGCCCAATTCAATCTATTAGCAACTCTTTGATGAATCGATTATTATTTATCTCATTGACTGGACAAGATCGAGCAGTTATCACCTTGTCATCGAACAGTAAACATTTCCTGCATCTTTAATGCGAATATATTGCAAACCATAAACGCGAATCCAAAGAAAATAAAAAGCACCAATGGAAAATTGTTTTAAAAATAAACTCAAAGTGTGCCAAAAAACAAAAAAGACAACAGGGAACTGGGAAAAGCAGAAAAAACCGGCCGAAGAAGACATCTCTAGCTGGCTGGAAAGGAATTTTCACCCCTTTTGAGTTTATTTCGGGAAGTTTGCTGCTGCTGCTGCTGCTGCTGTTGCAGTGGCATCTATCTAGGGGATTTTTTTGGAGGAAGGAAGGAATGGATATATACCGCAGACAGAGCACTTCACGTTTACTTTGGCCACAATACCAATCAACTGTCGGACTTCAATCACATTAAAAGCATGCGGCCAGGAACTCTGCACAATATATGACCCAAATAAATCAGTCGGCGTCCAGATAAACCGGTCTGCATGCCATCATGTACAGGAATATATATGTATATATTAAGTATATATAGTGTATTCCACAATATTGTGCACTCGATTGTCAGATCGCAAAGTGCTGCATCATGCTAGCTCGTCACACGCTCGTGACAAGCCCCCAAAAAAATAAAAAGTTGTAAAAAAAAGAAAGACTCACTGACTACTAGAAGTTACTCGTAAGAATAACAAACCAAACCCATTTGTATTTATATTTTATATTCTTGTTTGTGACTCAAGACAATGACGCAGGGATTGGGCAAATCAATGCCTTATCTCTGCTGGAATTTGAACGCAATATATAAATACTAAGTTATGGAATCGAATACTGTTGTGATGGGAAACTCACTTATCTTGAGGATTATATATATTCAAGTCAATAGGGGAAAGCCTTTTTTGATATTGGATTAATACAAATACTCTCTAAAAGGGTGAGTTATAAAAGAAAGAACGCTTGTACCTATTTAATTATTTAAAATGATACCTGAATATTTATTAACATAGTCACCATTATGGTCTGAAGCTATGTTGTGGATAAGAGACTCTTAATTAATAATTTCAAGTGTTTGCCAAGAAATATTCATTAAGCCATTTACTTTTTGGATTTATTACAAAGTATATTTTATATAAATCAGCTCATTTCAAAGAGTCATTGTTAAGCAATGAAAAACCACAAGCAACTCTTAAATAATTTCCAGTAAAGTAAATCAAACTTATTGATCACTGTACAAATTTTGAAATTGAATATATAATCTATAGATAAAACAAGAAATTTTATTACTCATCCGAAAAAGGCAATGATTCTTTCGCAAATTTCATAAAAGTAAACTAAAATTTCCAGGCAATTTTTGTAAAATAAATTTGAGTGCCATAAAAATGCTATTTATTAACCAATTTCAATACTTTCCATGACAAGAATTCTGTGTGTATTTTCCTAATGATCCCTGTAAAAATACATCCGGCAATTAAATAGAAACCTACTTGACTATAGATATATAGATACATAGATATATATACAGTGTATGCCCACATCTAAAAACCATTGCCATATCGAGACCATCGAGTGAGTAAATCATTTTGCGCAGTTGCAAGTCGTTCAGATGTGCCTGCTTTTCCCCCGTTGACCCCCATATTTTCCACACCTCTGAAATGCACGGCATCTGGAGAATTATTTCATAAGTTTCGCCATCAGTTACAGGCCATTGTTGTTGCTTTTGTTGTTTTGGCTGCTGCCACGTAATTCTGCCAACAATTTGCGAAACAAGCTCAAAAAAGCGTTCGAACTCGTGAAACCGAAAGGGGCGACGTCGTACCACTCACGTCGTGCCTAACAGATACTGAGATACGTAGATACATAGATACAGATACATACAGTTGAGGTTGAAAAAGTAGCTTAGGGCATATAATTTATTTTATTTTGAGTCATTTTAACAACAATTTAAAGGTGTATTTATATACTCTTCAGAGTAAAAACTTTGTTACAAAGTGAAGGAGTCATTTCCGACCCTATAAATCATATATATTCTTGATCAGCATCGACAGCCGGATCGATCTAGCCATGTTCGGTGAAATAATAAATTTTCGAAATTTTGCAATATTTTTAAAGGGGTTAGTTACATCGTTAAAATTGTCAAAAATGTATCAAAAAATGTTAATTTTTTAAATTTATAACTGAGTATGCAGATTTATTAACCTACTAAAAACTAACATGGAAACGCTTTCTGAATTGAAATTAATGCTATTTTGGCTGAGTTATGAGTTTTTTAGACTTTGATTTGTCGAAAAATTTGTCATATAGAAATATCATTAAATATCGATACAACGAATAAGAATATTTTAATCTCTGGTATGATCGATTTTCGATTCTATCCTTTAATTCAAATGCAAACTGCTAGGATAATTATCTTAGGCTTTCCAAAGTTAGTTTACTTTCTTGTTAAACCATAAGTTACTTCGGAATTATTTCTAACAAAAGTGAAAAAAAAGTATTTAAGTTATCTTATACGTTAACTTACATCTTATAAAAGATCGTTACTATTTGTCTA